AATATTACTTACTAATATTGATCTTCAGAGTACATCTCTCTTCTCTGCACTTCGCCTTGCCTTTTCTTAGCTTCGAGCCTCTCTGCCTACAGCATTAAAAAAAGTAAATCATTCTTGGGATTTTCTTGGGATAGGCAAGAAACAAATTATTTCAGTATTCTGGTTTTCAAAATAACAATAGTAGTAGCTGGGTACACAAGTGACTATCCCAAATTAAAAAGTATTGAAACATGACCACGAGTCATAGATAACTGTAAACTTGTCAAGAGACCAATCAATCAAGAGACCAATACAAGAACCCCTTGCTTTCCTGGCAGACATATGCACCCTCACAGAGGGCCTCATTAGGCTTTGCAGCTCCCAAGCGGTAATATTAAGGCCATCTCTAGGATTAATTGATGCAGCTTAATGGGGCCCGTACATGAGCGATGATACCGGCTACTCCGAGATGTGGAAGCATTTGCAACTAGATTAGCTCTTGGTTGATGACGTTTCGGGGGCTCTCAACTCTGCGGCTCCAGTAGCAGCAGCAGGAGCACACACGGCTCTGCAGGTAGATCCACGGCCTAGAAGCTTTAGGTCCTGAGCAGTGCAAAAATGAGGGGCGTAGCTGCACTTATCAAATGCTATTCTGTTTCAGGTACTATGATCAGTGCAAGCATCAGCCAAAGTTCTGACATACAGAACTCCTGAGGAGATCTGGACAGCACAGAAGTAACAAGCCTCTTGAACATAACATTGGATGCCAACCACCACCAACAAAAACCTCAACCCTGTCAGATATCTGCAGATATAAAAAAGGATAAATAACAATAATAAAAAACACAACACAGATTAGGTTGGACAATAGCAATACAGATATTGAAAGGTAAATGACTTGGAGGGGGTTTTTCTGGAAGAGGCAATGGAAAAAAAAAAATAGGAAGAAAGTGCTCTCTGAATAAGGTGAACAGTCAGTGGGGATGTTGAGATATTTGTAAAAGGTATACATTACTGATGTAACTAAACAAAGCATGGCATATCAACCCACTCTATGGGCAATTTTTATTATTTTATAAAAAAATAGGAAGAAAGTGCTCTCTGAATAAGGTGAACAGTCAGTGGGGATGTTGAGATATTTGTATAACTAAACAAAGCATGGCATATTAACCCACTCTATGGGCAATTTTTATTGTTTTTAAGCATTCAAGGAATACCTTGTCTGCTCCTAACTCCCCTACTTGGAGATGGATAATTTTTTAAGCCAAAACTTCCACCTATCTGTGCTTAACAATTTACATTTCATCTTCTGTTTTCCCTCAGGTTTCAGAAACAGGGCAACATTTTCAGCACTGGTCAGGTAACACCGCTAAGCAGATGCATGGAAAACACAGAATGATCCATATCAAAAAATTCCTATCAGACCTGGTCCTACTCTGACTAATGAGCAAGAAACTGAACCTTAGCATTTGTATCACCAAAGGTGATGTTGGTGCCCCTATGACAACAGGGATAATTTTCAGGCTTTTTGCGGGATAATTTTCAGGCTTTTTGCCCCATTTTGGTCCATGATGAAGCTGACACTTTCACCTCTGAAGGAGCATATACAGAGAGGAGTCACAGTTAAATAAATTTTAAGTTAAAATCCAAAGCTTACCAGCGTTGCCATGGCCTGGCTCTCAGCTAGGACAGAAGAATGATACTAAACTTGATCAATCTAATCCTTCAATATTCCTCCCCCAGCTCCTAGTAGATAAGAAAAGAGCAAATATTCTACACCTATTCTACCATCAAAATGGTGCTGGAAGAATACTCTAGCACACTGAAGTTATTTTCTAGTGGATGGTGTCTATTCTGAAAGCTTACCTTGGGACCCTGCTTAGGGCACATATGACAGAAAAAGCAAACGGGATATTCTCTAACTACTGACAATCTATCAATAGACATTGCCAAAGCACTTCACATTTGGCACGGTCTTCAAAAAAAAAAGCCAAGAGTGGAACAGCTGTGATATTGAAGGTAAACATGTTGAAAAGCATTAGCAGAATGTCTGTAAAGTGCCTGGTTTTTGCAAATTCCCAGAAAAGGCCATTCATGTTGATTAACACAGTCAAATTAAAGAGCACATGATTTGATAAAAAATAAAATGAAATTACAGCTTATTCTAAAAAGGACAGCTTTAGAAGATGGAATGACTGTTTCTGTGTAATGTAAAAGCAGAAGAAAAAATGGTTTCACACTGGAATAGACTTGAGTATTTTCAGTTCAACTCTTCTTGTGTAAATGAGGACTTTCTCATTTACACAATTCCTAGAATACACACAGGAAATTCTAAATGCAGGATAACAGGAACAGAGATCCAAGGACAGAAAACCAAAA